GGTGACAGTCACAACTGACTATCAAAATCTCACAGATGTTGCTTTCAAAATTACCAGTCTTACCTTCCCAGATCTCTCTCCAAGCAATACAAGCAGTCAGTTAGGTATGGATTCTGGCTATTCAAGTTGTACTCACAGAAAGGTTTATAGCCCAGCTTCTGCTTCAGTCTTCAGGGTGCCTGTCATAGAGCGTCAGGGCTAATCTGCTCATGTAATTTGGCATCCCAGGATAAACTGAGGTCTGGAGACCACACTTCCACCCTCGCCTCAGCCCTCCTGGGGTTCTGTCCTCTGCAGCCCTTCCACAAGGACCTGCCATCGCTGTGCCAACTTGCCCACCTTAACAGGGCATTTGTGTAACCACTGGTATGTAAGAGGCAGCTGGCTGGTGGCAAAAAAGGTTCTCCAGGGCTTCCCCCTTCCTTTCATTTTGCAACCACCTAAGTGAGGAGCTCTGGGAGACACTTAGGGCAGTTAAGTCTTCATGGGAAAACAATGGATAAGGAGCATGGATTTGTTGAAGAGTAGAGCAAGACAACACAAACAAGAGGACCTGAGCAAAACAAGCACTGAGAATAAGGAAAGAGGGTTTACAAAGGCCTTGGTGGGCTTGTTAGAGTGGATGGGTGGGTGGATGAGTGAACAGAGTGGACGAGTGGATGGACAAGTGGATGGGTGGGTGGGGGAGTGGACAGATGGATGGATAGGGTGGATGACGAGTGGAAAGGTAGATGGATAGACAGGGTGGACAGGTGGGTGTATAGATGGGTGGAGGAGTGGACAGAGTAGATGAGTCGATGGGTGGACAGAGTGGATAAGTGGATGGATAGATGGGTGGACAGAGTGGATGGGTGGATGGGTGGATGAGTGGATAGATGGGTGGATGGGTAGACGGATAGATGGATGAATGGGTGGAGGGATGGATGGGTGAAAGGACACATAGATGGATGGATATGTTGATGGGGGTAGATGGACTGATGGATGGATAGATAGGTAGATGAAGAAAGGAAGACAGGGCATAGTTTTGGTGTTCATAATGCACACAAGTGTGAAGAAGACATGGGGCAAGATGGTTTCAGAAAATTCATTTACAAACCTACCTCCATCTCACCCAGACCTTACATTTGGCACTCAAATGCCCACGGGGAGGAGCAGTGCCACGGTGCCAGTGGGATAATGAGGCATCCCCAGCAATGGAGCCAAATCTCCACATACAGAGAGGGAGCAGCACTAGCTAATCTGATTTCTTAAAGAAAGGCCTGAAGTCCAAGTTCCAGACAACCTGCAGGGAGTAACCAAGACATGGCTTTGCTACCATGGCATTTATCACTTCTTCCCCTCTGCCTAGTCAACATCAAGTGGCACAGATGGTGCAGGTTGCTCAGAGGCTACCAGGCCATGCAATCCTGCTGCATCTGCTGGAGCCTGAAGCAGGCTGGCTCCTGCTCAACAGCACCAGGGAAGCCCAGATGGTGGCTGTCCCAGGGGACGTGGTGGGGATGTGACCCTTCAGCATGACCCTGCAGGCCACCCCAGCCTCAGTGCCTACTGCAGCACCCAAAGCAAAATTGGGTTGTTACCTCTCCAATAGGAAATTAGAATGTTTTTCTTTAAAAGTTTTTCTTTGAAAAACTGTTTCTGCACTGCCCACCTTGGTACATGTCAGCAAGTCCCAGGCGGGCTGATGGGCACTATGAATACAGCCTTGCCCAGTTTAGTTCTCCTGCCCTTTGCCTGGAAGGCCTTGGCCTTGGGCATTGGAGGCCACCAGTGTCCATGTGCCTGTCAGTAAGCAGCAGGAATGGCAGAGGAAGTGAGCTCTGTTCCACGAAGGGTACAGGAACAAAGGCTCAGGTGTCTCTCATGGGGTATATGTGGTTTTAGACAGAAGCTCTGTGATTAAAGTGAAACTTTGTTCTAAAATTCTTGCATTGAAAGAAATTATCTTCAGGCCAGAGAAAGAGTTCAGAGGCACAAGTACCTGCCTGACAGCTGGCAAGCGCAAGTTCAAAAAAAGAACTCATCTTCGTGTGGCTCAGTTCACCGATGAGTTACAAAATGAGTTTGGTTAAATTCCGAGTTGTCTGAACCTCGATGGTGAGGGCTTCCTGTTGCTGTGGTCACCCACCCCACCCCATCATGTCACGTCCTTGGATGGGGAGGAACAGCCACATGGGGTATGCACAGTCAGACCCCAGCCAGCTCCAGAAAGCCCTGCAGAAGCCTCAACAGCCCCTGTGGCCCTGAGGCCCTGTTCAGATATGGATGTTGGGTTCCAGGGCCAGGGTTTCTGGGGCTGTGGTGGCCCAGAGCAGGCAGCTGGGTGGCCCTGCAGGAAGTGCATTTCTGAGAACTCTGTCTTTGAAGAAAATGGCAAGAGTTGTCCCATGGGCCTCCGGGCAACTGCTGGTGTGTCAGTGTGGAGATGCATGGATGGATGGTGAGGGGCAGAAACAGAGATCAAGGTGAAGGATGTGGCTTGGTCCCCCAAACCCAAAAGGATGGGGACATGGGGCACTTCAGCCACAGAGGGAGACAGAGACAGATCCAGAGTTCACTGGTTCTTGTGGGAATGAGGGTGTTTCCAGATGTGAAGGCTGAAGGTCTGACCCTGCTGCGAGGCAGGGATGTCCTGGCAGAGCTGACCTGGGCATCCAGACCAAGGCTGACTTTAAGGCTTTGGATCAGGAAGTTACCTTCAGGGAGGCTGAGTGTTGCCAAGGTGTGTGCGGCCAGTGGGCCCTGACTGGGCAGCCAGTGGGCACTGACCCTGCTACAGCTGCTGAAGGTTGGCCTGGGCTTGTGAGCAAGGTGCCAGCGGGGCTCCCACAGCCCCACAGCACTCAGGTGGGCATGAAGCCCCCCAGGCAAGGGTCAGACTGCCCCAGGCATAGGGGTGTCCAGCACTGCAGCCTGAGGGCAATGGGGCTCAGTTAAGTCCCAATCTCCAAGGCTCTTCTCTCTTTGCTCACAAAGATGCCTTCCCTCTCGTACTGCTGCCCCTGGGGCAGGCAGCAGAACTAACCACAGAGCTGTGGCCCCCCATCCACGCCACCTTCCTGAGCTCATCTCCAGTGGTCTGTTGGAGGAGCGTGGTCCCCTTGCCCACCCTGCCCGGGGAACCGGCTACCAGCCCAGTGTCCAGCCTTGCTTTTCCACCTCACACTCCCCCTGGCCCAGGGCCCTGTTCACTCAGGGGCTGCTGCAAGCAGAGCCCTTCCTGCATTGTCCTCCCAGTGCTTTGCCCCAGCACTTTGTAGTCAGGATTGCAAGGAATTACATTACTCAGGACACATAATTTATAGATTATTTTATAATAGTCACCCAAGAAGTCACATGCAGAAGAGTACCAGAAATCTGTCCACACACTAGAAACCCAAAGAATCCAGCTGAGGACCTAGACCTTGAGCCCATGGCAGTGCCCTGTGTGAGTCCAGCTGGAAGCCTGGAGCCATGACAATGTCTCATGCAAGTCTATATCAAGGCCCCAAGGTCAGTGGTGGAAGCTAGAAAGTCAGCACCAGTGGGAGGAAGGACCTGCATCAACAGGCTGAGGGATCCACACTGGAGCTAGGAAGCGACATTCAAAGTAAAGACCAGAGCTTCCCAAAGAGACCCACAGCCATCCTCAGTGACAATGAGGTCCCAAGCTCCTCCAAGGATGAGAACAGCTGGGTGTATATTAGGAAGCCAGTGTGACCAGCTCCTCCAAGATAATCCACAGCACAGCACAGTACCTTCCCCTCCACGTCTCCTATTATGTGTCGGCAGCGATCTGCAGGTGTCCTCCGTATCCCGCACCACACCAGCTCAGCTCAGCTGGGTGTCACAAGCTGCCCATTAGTTAACCTACCACACTCCTGCCCCCACTTCCTCCCGTAACCTGCTGCCGTAACCTGAGGAATACCTCAGCAGCCCAGGCCCATGAGTCACAGGGCAGGATGCTGGCTGTTCTAGTACTTGCTGTTGCCACAGTCCCCAGGGAGTGCTGGGTACATAGATGTGGAGTAGGATTGATGGGGCGGACCCCTGGCAGCTGTTAATGAGGAAGTGAGGCCCTGTTCTGGTCAGGTGCGTGGGCCCGCAGTGACCCATCCAGGTGGTGACAGCTGACCCTCACACACCCTTGTTGCCTCTGTTAAGGCCTTGGTGACCTTTGGGGACTTTCACCCTGCCCTTGGCTTTGAGTCTTGGGAGAAAGAAGGATGTCACTTGCACAGGGTTCTGACCACTCTTCCCCTGTGTGCGACGTGGTCCCGTCAGCGGCAGGAACCGAAACGCCCATCCAGACCCGAGGCTAGCCCGGGACCTGGAGCTGAGGTTTTCTGTTCCACCACACCAGTGCTAATATAAAGAAGGCTGCCCTGAACGTTCTCGGTCATTACCGCCAGGGCACACCAGGTCTCCGGCAGTCGTCTCTATGTAACAGATATCCACGTAGCTGTCCATGTGAGACAGCACTTACTCAGCTTTAGTGAAAACTCAGCAAAAGAGCAGTCCCTAAAACAGATGCAATTAAGCCCCGGCACAACTGCACACGGACCATGTTGCGACACCGAGGTGGCCTGTTTTTCTGGCCATTATTCATCCAGAAACCTTAATGATGAGCAACCTTTGTGTTATTGTCCACCCAAATTTAATTTGTTTATGCAGCAGTTCAGTTAATCCTGCAATCTGCTTTTCTCAAACGAGGGCAGATAATGGAGACACCGTTCTTTACAAGTCTTCAGGCTTTTAAATTCTGATAAAATCAGGGTTCTTCACTGGGTCTTGCCCCAGCTCTGAATTAAAGCACTTTAAATGTAATTATGGAACCTGGCCTTACATCAGGAACATCCATTTAAAAAATTGATTGGCCAGGCTGTTCCATGGGGCATTTTATGAGCAAACGATTGCAGAGGGCCCAGAACTGTAATTTATCAAGGCACAAAAGCAGGTAAATACTTTATTAGTGGTAATGAGAGGGTTGCCAGCTAACTGCACCTCTTCCTCCCCGCCAGCTACTTCATGGAGCCCTGGTGCATGGCCCTGCTCCACGATCGCTTTATCGACCTCAGGAAGGAGCTGCGCCAGGTCCTGGCCTCCAAGCAGGTGAGAGTGATTAGTGGGCGCAGGCTGCTGCTCAAAGCCCGGAGCGGTCGATGGCTCAGCCCTCCCTCCCCACTGTACGGCTTGGCTTTCTAAACCAGCTGCCCTTCCTGCAGAAGGAGCGGAGTGCGGATGCGACACAATGTTGGGGAGAGTGATTTTACTTATTTGGGGGGGGTGCAGGTTTTGTTTTCCTCTTTATGAGTAGCAGTAGAATTTTCACAATGAGCTGATAATGCTGGCTGGAAACTGGGGGTGTGCTGTGTGCACCAGCCTCAGAGGGCACCAAGGTGTCTTATGTCTGCATTGGCCCAACACTGAGTGCCTGTAGCTTTGTAGATGTCACAGGAACCTCATCCCTGTGGCAAAACACACTTCTCTGTTTTTGTTTTCCCCATCGGGTTACCTGGAATCAGTCTCAGGGCCCTCACAGCCAGCTACATCCCCAGAATCCTTCCTATTTTTTAGTTAGAGAGAGTCTCTCACTTTTGGCAAATTGCCCAGGTGAGGCTCAGCTTTGTGGCCCTGCTGCTTCAGCTCCCCAAAGGGCTGGGACCACAGGTGTGCACACCATGCTGGTTTAGAACACACTCCTTTTATACCTGACACTTCTTTTTGAAGTGATTCAGGATGCACCCAAAGCTAGACTGGCATCCCAGAGCTAGAATCTGGCATCCCAGAGGGGGCTATCTATGGATTTCCACTTTCTCCAGTAGACAGCCTACAGCCCAGCTGTGTGGGCCAAGGCCTGGGCTCCAAGGGTGCTGGGCGCTGGCCTGGCCGGCTCACTTCCTGCCTGGTCCTTAGGGGGTCCCAAGCGTTCTGGTATAGCACCCACCCCTCACTAACTCTAGCACAGCCCTGCAATGGTTGATGCCCCACGGTCCGCATCTGGACCTCAGGGATGCTTGGTAGCCCACGTGGCCGTGCAGCTGCTCAGGGGAAGCAAGCTGCCAGCCCCCACCTCCTAGCTTCCGTCTGAGGCAAACAGACATTTAGGGTTCCTACAGGTGACACCCAGAAGGCAGATGGGGACCCTGAGGCCACGTGCAAAACTCAGGAGCTGCTGATCACTCAAACTGAGGGGTCCACACGGGTCCCTCAAGGCCCCTGAGGGTGCCGCCAGCCGGCACAGGAAATGGAGTATTTTCTACATTTCATTTGCTATCTTGGGTTAGAAACATTCAGATACCTTAGCTGTGCTTCTGGTCTAAACCATACTCGCTATGTTTGTGGATGAGACACTGACCTTTGTGGAAGGGGAAATATAAAAGTACGTTTTTCCATCTTCAATTCCTTTTCTTCACATTACTGTATCGTCAGCAACTGTTTTTGTCTGTATGTTTGAGATGTATAATGAGCACTTTCACTGGGGTGTTGGGCACATGTGCATAACATCTTGATTCTTTTATGTTTCCCTGTCCTTCTCCCCTTTCCATCTCTTAGACCTTTCCCCTTTGTAAAAAATTGATCTCTCTGATTTTTTTGTCTATATTTTATTTTGTTCCTTATTTTGTTTATACTTTGGGTTTCTCACATATGAGTAGCTATGCTTTAACTTGTGTGTCTGATTTACCTCACTTAACACTGTGTCCTCGAATTTCATCTATTTCCCCATAAATGCCTCGCGTTCATCCTTCTTTGTGCAGAGTAGTACTCCACTGTACCACATTTTCTTCATTCATTCACCTGTGGATGAATGTATAGGTTGCTTCCAAGATTTAGTATTATAAACTGTGCTGCTATAAACACGGGTGTGCGTATATCACGGAGAAACGACGTCTTTAACTCTTTGGAGAAGATACCTAGAAGGGGAATCACTGGGACAAATGGAATTTTGACTTTGATTTTTTGAGGAATCTGTGTACTGATTTCTACGGTGCTTGTCCTAGCTCACATCTCTGCTCGCAATGGAAAAGTCTTCCTTTTCTCTGAAGCCTCACTAGAATTTGTTATTTGATTTCTTGATGGCTGTTGGTTCTCGGGTAAGGTGCAACCTCAGGGGTATCTTCATTTGCACCTCTTTAACAGCCAGTGATGTCGAACATTTCTCATGTATTTCTGGGCTATGAAACCCACAAGGTGCATAAAGACCTACACAGCCTCCTGCATGCTTCAGTGTGATTGCTTCTGATACTTCGTTAGATAGCTAAAGAACTGTAGTGCCCTGTACTGTTCATGGTATAACCACAAGAACAAGTCTGCAGGTGCTGAGTACAGCTAAGACTTTTTCCCAGATGTTCTCAGTGATGGCGGGTTGAGCCCCCAATGTGGCACCACGCACGTGTGGGTTGGGGGCCCGCTAGTCCATGCAGATGGAAATCAGAAGCAGAGTTCAGAATTGGTCTCCACCCTGGGCTCTGCCCAGCTCCTCAGATGACACACACCCTCTTGAGACAGCACAAAGCCAGATGCTGAAGGCTACAAAATGTGACTGAAGTTACAGGAGGCCGGAAGACACTGAGAGGCATCTCTGCTCCTGGATTTAGACTTCCCACTGTGCAGAACGTGGTACCACCCAGCACAATCCACAGACACAGTTGATCCCATCCAACCTCCAAGACATCCCTTCTAGGAATGGCAGAGCCTGCATGGAAATGTGGGGGACCCCCAAAAATCAAGTCTGTCTTGAGAAAAGAAAAAGGTTCAAAGACTCACCCTCTCTGATTTCAAAACCTGATACACAGCAGTAGTGACAAGGCAAAACGACATGTTTTGCCTAACACAGATTGTGTAGTCGTATAAAATAAAGGCAGAAGTTCATGCAGAAGACCTTTATTGTGAAAAGAAGTGCAGCATCATCGGTCATCAGGGAAATAAACATCAGAATCACAGATGTCCTTTCATACCCACTGGGATGGATATAGAGAGAGAAGAGAAAGGAGTCCGTGTTAGGATGTGGAGAAAAGGGAACCTCACACAAGTGCTGCGGGTGTGTAAACCTGCGTAGATGCCGTGGAAACTAGTGTGATGGTTCCACAGTGAGTTACACAGAGGATGACCCTGTGGCCCAACCACTGTGCTTTCAGGCATGCATACATCCCGAAGGACTGAAAGGGATATTCAGATGCACATGCGTATGTAGAGAAGCAACTCACGTGTCCATCGACAGAGCAGTGCCTAAACGAGTGGTCTACAAGCTCATGCAATGGAATAATACTGAGCCCCCAAATAGAAATGAAGTACTACTTTGTTTTGCAAAGTGTATGAGGCTCACAGCTTTATTCGAGAAAGACAAACTCTGTGCGAGCATCTCAATAAACGAAGAGGAATTGACAAAGTGAATATCATTTTATGATTGAAAAACTTGCACACATAATGGTAAGGAAGGAAGAGCCACCTGTGCCAAGTGCTCGGGTAACACCATGCCAGCGGTGAAAAGCTGCAGCATTTCTGTTAACTACCATTCTGAAGATCCTCGCCAAAGAAGTTAGGCAAGAAAAAGAAATGAAAGGTATCCCAGTGGGAAAGGAAGACGTTTGCTGATGACATGATCTTATTTTAGGAAAACTAAAGACTACAAGCAAAACCTGAATAACGAGGGCTAGGGCTGTTGTTCAGTGGTCGAGCCCTCGCCTACTGAGTGTAAGGCCTTGGGTTCCATCGCTAGCAACACACACACACACACACACACACACACACACACACACAATTTGAAAACAAACCAAAATAACTGACAACTTGAGAAAAGGTGCAGGACACAAAATCAACGCACCAAGCCCCCTAGTGTTTGCAGACACAACAGCGATCTGCCTGAAGAGAGATTAGGGAAGGGGACCTGCTTACCGTAATATAGAGGACACACAGGAGTCACTGGCCAAGGAGACTAGAGCTCCAAGCACTGAAACCAGTTCAAAGAGAGCAGATGCCAGGGATCCCGCAGACCCTGCTCCTGCTTGTGATGTCAGGAACTGTGGGCCCCCAACTTCCAGCCCCCTGCTCTCACTGCTACAGCCCATGCTCCAAGGGGACCATCTTTGCCTGCATTGCTGCCCACAGGGCTCCCAACACTGTTCTGCATGGTGAGCTCATGATTCCCCACCATGGTGGCCCGGACCTTCACAGTCGTCCCCTGCAGCAGGACCACCAGCAACAGCGTAGCCAATGTGTATCTGGGGCCTCCTGCCCCTCGAGTCACTGGGCTCCTGCTTCAGTGACTCTGACCACAGGTTGGCCAGGAGGAGCACAGGGCTGTGATGTCTAGCACGGCGACTCTGTTCTGGACACCAGGGAAGCCTCTGGCCCTAGGGGAGAACCCGAGGCCCGCACTGCATGCCGAGCGCAGACCCCAGCCCTGTGACTCCCAGCGGAGCAGGGAGGTCATCGAGGGGACTGCAGCCACCTGGCCATGTGGGGTTCACTTGGAAGCTCATCTGCAGGCAGCTCTGGAGCTTCAGGGTCACCTGAGTCCTCCCCAAACCACAGGTGGAACAAAACTCAAGAAATTAAAGATGACTCAAGTCAACAGAAACACCCTCTGTTCATGGAGTGAAAGAATTCATAATGTAAAGATGACCAAGCAATCCACAGATTCAATGTATATCTATATAAATTCCAATGAAATACAAAAAATTCCACAGAAACGGAAAAACAATTGTAAAATTCATGTAGGCCCATGAAACATCTCTGCAGGGAAAACAGATCTGGAAGCCCTAAAACTTAAGTGGCACCTCAGTTCACAGACTTGATTCTTTTTCACGACTCTGGCCACAAATCAAATTGGACGAGAACCGAATCCAGTTTCCCTATGAAGTCAACACTGAACCTAACTGTTGAGTTTGATTCGGTTCTCATCCAACTCGGTTTGCTACCAGAATTGTGGCAAGCATGGAGTTTGTGAACAGAGGTGCCACTGTGTCTGGTTCCTGAAGGCCTTGCAGAGCGGAGGTGACCCACATGGCGGGCATGGCCCTGGACCGTCACAGGACAGGGCCCAAGTCACTAACAGGTCTCAAGAGTGGCTGACTTCTGACAGCAGGAGCACAGGATGGGAGGGACAGGCACCTGACTGAATGGTGCCAGGCAGACCAGGGACATGGGGGAACGAGGCGGCACTCAGCACCCCAAGCAAGTCAATTCCATCTGAAGTGTTCTCAGCAGAGACCTGAGGCCCCAGAAGTCCTGCAGGAAGCACAGTGGGAAACACCCCTGGCATTGCTGTCATTTTAGATGTAAAACCAAAAGCACAGGCAACAAAAAGAAAAAGAAGTGGTTCTGCGTCTACCTCAGAAGCTCCGCACAGCAAGGAAACAGGCAGCCTGCGCACTGCGGGAAGATTCGCCAGTCACACATGGCAAGAAGCTCAGCTCAGTAACAAGAAAACAAGACTCTGCTTTAGAAGGGATGGAGATGCACATAGACGGTCATCAAAACAAAGACAGACAAACTGAGTGTGGGGTGCATACCTGTAACACTGGCTACTTGGGAGGCTTAGGCAAGGAGGCTGCCAGTTTGAGGCCAGCTTGGGCAATTTAGTGAGATCTTGTCTCAAAAAAAAACACCTGCTGGGGACGCAGTGGTAGAGCAGCCCAGGTTCAAGATCCAGTACCAGGGAAAAAGAGACGGATGGCGGTGGGTGCCGTGAAGAGAGGCCCCTACGTCACTGCTCCTCGGTAAAGGGAAGCAGCAGCCTCAGTGTGCTGTCACCTGACATCTGTCAGTGTTACTTAGAAAGGAGGCAGCAAGTTAGCACGGGTGCCAGAGAGACGCTGGACACCCACGGAGGGGATGTGAATTAGTTGAGCCATTTTGGGAAACAGTGTGGAGGCTAGAAATAGAATTACCACCCTAGGAACCCCACTCCTGGGTAAAAATACAAAATATTGAAATGGGTATGAGGAAGAGGCCTATGCATGCTTGTATTTAGTAGTAGCCAAGGTATGGAAATAAATTTAAGTGTCCACCCATGGGTGAATGGACAAAGAAATGTGGTATACACTGTGGAATACTATTCTGCCCTGAAAATGAAGGCATGTTTGCTCTGGGTGATGACCGTGTGGATGACCCTGAAGGTCATGTGGTGGGAGAGATGGATGCCAGGCCATGTGTGACTTCATTTGCATGGAGAATCTGAAGCGTCAAACTTGTGGAAACCGAGGGTGGAAAGGTGGTCACGAGAGGAGTAGTGGAGAATGGGAAAGAATGGATACTGTGCTGGGGAGTCACAGATTCAGTAAAAGGAAAAAGTGATGGTGGCCACGCCCAGTACCAGTGCGCAGTGTGGCTCACAGCCGTGGGGAGAGGGATTTGGACATTTGCACCACACATGCAAAGCCAAGGATGTGGGTGATGGATGTGCAGTGGCTTCCGTGTGACCCTAGAACTCTAGAGGTTGAAGCAGGAAGATTACAACCCAAAGCACAGCCTGTGAATCGCTGGACTGTGTCCCCGAAGTGAAGCTGAGGCTGGGGAGGCAGCCCAGTGCAGAGGCCTGGGGTTCGCTCTCGGAGGCCGCAAAAATACTAATAATGATAACCGTAACTTCACGGTGCCCATGGGGACCCTATCCACATCTGACCCCTGCAAGAGGTACAGTTTTATTTGTCAACTTAAAACAAAACATAGAAAGAAATAAAATTAACAAAGGAACTTTCAAGAGATTATAAAAAAAAAAAACAGAAACAAACACTACGCTAAGTGACAGAAGCTGACACAGTGATCATGAACTGGGTGTGTATGGGAGGAAAGTTGCCACCTCCCGGAGGGATCACCAGGAAGCCAGGGCACAGGGACCCGCATCATCCAGAGCAGTGCTTGTCCAGGGAACAAAAGAGCTGTCCCCACCCTCAGACCTTCCAGGGCCCGCTCTCCCCGTCCACCCCCAAGGCCAAAGAGCCACTTTCCAGGAGCCTCAGGGTCTCCAGCTCCAAAGGAACCCCAGGGCATGGGCCTGGCCAGGTTCCCTGCTTGGTTGGTGGTGTCAGAGCTTGAGATCCTTGTGTGGCCCTAACACTCACTGGGGACGCTGATGCCAGGCTGCACAGCACCGAGTCTGCTGCCCCGTCTTTGGGTTCTCCCTGCCGTGTTCCCAGGGCCGCCATCCAGATGTGGCCTAAAGTATCCACTGCTTTTCCTGTTTGAAATAAAAAGAATTCTTGGGAGTTGAAATAAATAGAATACGGGAACACAGGTGACTTGGGGAGAGCAACTCAGCCTGGGGGCGTCTTTTTATACAAACCGGATCTGCAGCACTTTACCCACAGGACCCGCAAGCCCACAGGTGCTCACAGGACAATTTCTGGTCTGTTGTCGAAACTTTCTTTTCTTTTCTTTTTCTTTCTTTTTTTTTTTTTTTTTTTTTGTCTTTTTTTTTTTCATTTTTATCCCGGGGATCGAACTCACGACTGCCTACTTGCAAGGCAGGTACTTATGCCGCTGAGCTAAATCCCCAGCCCCTCCTTGAAACTTTCTGGATTAACAAAGTTGGAAAAACCTCTATAGACTGCACAGGTTCTCATTTGCAACTTCAAATAACTTTATTCTCTTGAACCCTCTGTTTAGTGATTTCAGTGAAATGACTTTACTAAGAATGGAGGATTTTCAGTCTGTCTCTTAGGAAAGAATTGTAACTTAGGGAAGGACCCCTCTTCCCAGCCAAGAGTTTCTGAACACAAATGTTGAACCGATTCCATTCCTGGCGGGTGGGGTACTGGAGACTGAATCCAGGCAGGGCCTTGCACTGAGCTACACCCTCACACTTTTCTTATTTTCCATTGTGAGACAGTGTGCTGCTAGATTGCTAAATTGCCCAGGTTGTGCTCAAACTTGTGACCCTGCAGCCTCAGCCTGCCGGAATAATGAGCATCACCCCACCTGACTTCCTTTTGTATTTTTACAGTGTTTGTTTGGGGAGTTTTTGTTTGTTTGTTTTTGAGACAGGGTCTTGCAGTGTCCTTCAGACCAGCCTTGAACTCACTACATAGCTCAGGCTGGTCTCAGCCTCCCAAATGTTGGGATTACTGGAGTGAGCTGCTATGCCTGGCATTTTCTTATTCTTAAAGCAAGCATCATCTAAGGTTTTCTTTTTTATCTGACGAGTTTAAAATGAGCATCCTTGAAGGACCAAGAGGACATAGAAAGACAAGCGCTGTGTCCCTTTACTCATCCTCGGTCCCCAGAGACTCAGATTCCCTCAGGGATGGGAAGGGGGGCACACAACGGAAAGCTATCATCTAATAGGTACAGACTTCCGGTCTGGGAAGATGAACTGTCCTGCAGATGGATCCTGGTGACGGTTGTGCTACAGTGTGAACGTAATGCTACTGAACTGTGCACTTAAAACCTCACCAGGATAAAATTTTGTTGCAACTAAAAATAATTTCTAAAACTGGACACAGTGGCGCATGCCTGTAATCCTAGCTACTCAGGAGACTGAGGCAGAAGGATCACACATTCGAGTCCCGCTTGCGCACCCTGTGAGATCCTGTCTCAAAAAGGTCTGGGGATGCAGCTCCGAGGTAGCTGGCCTGGGCTGAATCCGGAGAACTGACCCAAATCTAAAATGGTAGGGAAGAAATTCCATGTGGGGCAGCTGAGCCTCGTTTATTTTGGTAAAGCTCCTGTCCACTGTGGCGCTGCGGGCGGGTAACCTGAGCCTCGCTGTGTTCCACAGGAGGAGGGCATGCCATCCATAGAGCAGCTGGTGCGCCATATCGAGGAGGAGGAAATCTACCTCAAGGAGGAGCCCCAGACATACCTCAGGCGAGTCTTCCAGGAGACCATCTACCGACCCCTGGTGGAGAAGAGGATCCTTGACTACCTGCACTACAACCGCTACCACCTGCCCATGTACGCCTGGCCCGGCATCATCTAGGCAGCACCTGGCCGGCCGGGCGAGCCGCGGCGACCCCTCAGGTCGCAGGCCTGTAGTTCCCTCTTGTCCCAGTAGGTGGCGCGCCGCCGTGCGTCTCCACCCCGCGGGGCAGAGCCCTTCCCGACACCAGGCCTGTGCCTGGGCAGATGAATCCCCTTTAGCAAATAAACCGGCTCATACTCATTTCTGCCTTGGGCGTGATCCTGGGTATGGTTCATCCGTGGAACGCTCGCCACCGACCTTGTTAGTTCTTAGCATGTTTAACCAACAATCCTTGTGGGTGATTAAAAAAAATCGTATGTCCAGAACGGAAAATCTATAAACAGCTGATGAGAAATTAAATCCTGAGCCTCACATCAGATGGAATAATTGGACAGTAAAGCTTCCTTGACCTTTCAAAATAAGGAGGCTGTGATCACATTCCCTGTATTTTTAATTCTTATTCCCCTTCATGAGCACAGAACCGCAGAAAAACTGGAAGATCCAGCCATCCACACAAGGGCTTTAGATACACAGTGGCAGAGGGAAATTCACCTAGCTCATCTTTGAGCCGGAGCAGTGTTGCTCCCTGGGGTGGGGGGAACCCCTGGTACCTGTCACCTATAATGTGGATCAGAAACTCACTTTTACAAACAAAGCAAATTAATTGCTCACTGGACAGCAAGTGCGTTCAGGAACCAGCCCTGCCCACACAAAAGACTGCTTCCGCTTATTAGGGTCGCTTAGCACAGGGGTGCCACAGTTTTTTTTTTTAATCAACAGCAAGGATTAAAGTTTTCATGAACACAATTCCAGTTTTCGTTGATATTTTATATGTATGTTAACATCTAGCAAAAACTGGCACCCTTACAAGGATCGCCTGGCAATTATGAGGAAAAGAGATAGCTGGTCTTATACCCATTATCCAACTTCGGGTGGCAAACTGCTTAATTATGGAACTTTCATGCTGCTTGATACATCTCAAAAGCAAAATTATCCCAGAACACTGGGCTCTGATTTTCCCCAGGCAGGCAAAAGCAAGCCATAAGCGCCACCAATTCCTTTGCAGAGATGTTTTACCAAATGCGCGGGCATGTAGGGGGAGGGCCCAACGCTGCCATATGGTACACTGTGTCCTCTGGGTGGGAAACCATCTCTCCTGGCCCCCTCCTCCATCAGAGCCAATACACAAGCTGGCGAGCTGGCCTGCTGGGGATGCCTTCCTGTCCCTTCCTGAGAGGACCTGGTCAAACTCATCAGCAAATGACAGAGATGCTGTGACAGGCCCAGAGACCCTGGGCTGAAGATTAACAGACCGGTTTCAGTAGAGGATCAACACTTATGACTTCTGTGACCACAGATTACCATGATAAAGCCTCCAGCCACATAAAAGTGGCCCCCAATGACAATGTCAGCCTTAATACCAAAGCATGCATGAATTTGATAACCACCACTTTCCCCTTTCCTGCCTTTCAAGAAGTTTCCTTGGAAGCCATAGGATCAGGGTGCACTTGAAGACTTCCCAGACATATGCTAGCCCAGAAAGGGGCCTGTATGTTGTTATTTTAATCCTTGTCCCATTCTTAGGAAGAGATTTCCTGAATATAGGAAGTTTAGTGCACAGCTCAATTATTTCCAGAATCTAAGACTTTCAGCATGTATGTGCTGCCCTCAAAGCTTTATAGCTGCAGAGCAGGTTTCCTAAGAACAAGAATTACAAAGTCAGTAGGCACTGCTTGCAAAGGGCAATCTTCAGAGCTTGGAGGATAAAGTTAATGGCACAAGCTGGGAAGCAAAAAGGCTTCAAAGAGCCCAATCTTTGGCCTCATGCGTTTGACAGTGAACACTTGATATCCCCATTGCCATGGGGGTGGTGACATCTTGGGCTCGCTGCCTGATCCTAGAACTCTACAATTCCAACAAAGAACACTGGCAAGAAAACAGCCAAGTTAATTTTCCAAAGTTTTATTCCCCAAATCACAGACCACAGCCCTGCCTGGCCAATGCCCTAAACATCTCCTAACAGATGTCACGTTTTAACACAGTATAGCTGCCTCCTTTCCAGAAATGGCTCGTTATGGTTTTATTATACCCAAATATCACAGGAAGGAAGGCGAAAGAAACACAGATGAAGTGAGGGAGGGAAGGAAGCACTGCCAATCAATATTTGAGACAGAGACAGACCGACTGGGGCGAGCCAGCGCCAGCTAAGACCAGGCGGAGGGGCTGCGAAGTCGCCCTGAGAGCTGTTGATTGTTTTCTGGTTGAGAAGTGATGATCAGGCCGGATAAAAAGTAAGCGCGGGGCGCAGAGCCGGCAGCTGTATGCTAATGCTGCAGAGACCGAGCCTTCGCGTCCCCCATTAAAGCAGGCGACCAGGAGGCCACACATCACTGAACAAATAGGCTCTCTCTAGACAAATAAAATAACACACGTTGGCCGGTGGGAAGGGGGAGGGGACGAGGAGGGAGAAGGGAGAGCACGAGAGCGCGGCTGGGCGAGCAGGACGCCAGGGCGGGGACCGGGCTGTGAGGGCGACCGTGGCGAGGGCAGGGGCCGCTTTGGGAGAGCCGAAGGGGTGGGAAGAGAGGCCTAGGAGAAGCCGGGGAGAGGGAGGCAGGTGATGGGGGAGAGGACAGACAAGATGGGGGCCCAGATGGCCCCCGAGTGAGAACACCAGGCGGAAAGTGCGCCAGTGCCCCCGAGGGCAGCAGGCCGGGCCGGGCCAGCCGAACTCCAGTCTGCTCCGAGGCTCGGAGCGCAAACCCCTCTGCGGGCCTCGGTGGAGCAGTCCCGGTCTTGCTGCCCAGATTTGGTCGCCGGCGGGCCCTCGGTCCCCTCCCTCCGGAGGGACAGTCTCCACCGAGGCGGAAAGAAAAAAAACAGCCCTGAGGGCCCTCGGTGAGCGCGCTGCCGGCGGCGCACGGGGGCAGAGGCGCAGCACCCCGCGGGCCCACGCATAATGGGCGCGCAGCAGATTGCCAGGGGCACTTGACACTCGGCGACAACTCAAGCGGGTCCCGCCCGCCCGGGACGGGCAGCCTCGCTGACTCGCCCTTGTTCCCTGTCTTTCATGCACTCTTCTTTTGTGTGGAATTATTTGAACGGAGGTTCCAAGGCAGCTTTATGCTAATGCACCAGACAAAGGCCAAGCCCGAGGCGGGGGTCCCGGGGGCCGGGCGGGGCGGCCAGGCTGCGCGTGTCTCTCGCGTGCCCCGGGCCGCACCAGCCCCTCATTCCTGCAAACACAAAGCCTTTCAGGCTCGGGCCTGGGACGGTGAGGCATAGGAGTCTCAGGGTCGCGGCTCGCGGGGACCGAGGGCCGTGGCGGGGGCTTCTCGGAAGCCAGAAGACGGGTCTGCAGCAGAAGGACAACGGGCGTAGGGACGCCAAGGACTCCCTACTGGCGTCTCCAAATGGCACCCCAGAAGCCAAGTCCTTCCCCGGAGTCCTGGCCGCAGTGCTTTCTAGAAAGTTCTTGCTGTGTCCTCTTGGATTCCAAGCTGAGCCGGGTCACAGGGACACCGCGAGCCCCTATCGAGCCGCTCCCACCCGGGGCTGCCAGTTCCGCAGCCGCCAGACCCACAGTAGGGGCTGCAAGGGCCAGAGGCTCACAGGGCCCAGACTGTCGCCTAAGCACTGGCTGGGAACCCACAAGGAGCTGGAGGACACGCAAATCCCTGTCTTGGAGTCCCCGCCTCACTGGCTCGGTGGGGGCAAATCAGCGCTCAGGGGCTCCCCAGCCCGACTCCGCGCACCCCTACCGGGGTCGCAGTGCGCAGAGCAGGCCTCGTGGGCGCGAGATGTCGGCGCTCCGCTCTTCCGGGACGGACAGACACGGCGACCTACTGTCCCCTCCCCGCGACGCGCAGGGTCTGAGATACCCACGCAGAAGGCTGTGGGCCTCCGTGGATCGGTGCCGCGCGCCCAGCATGAAGGTCGCGGGGGTACGGTGCGCGCGGCCGAGTTCCCCTCCGCCCAGGGTCCAGAAATTACTTCCCAATTCCTGGAGCTTTCGAGTTTCCGTTTATCTTGACCGCACTCGTCTGAAAGCAGAGCTCGTTTCTGCTGCTGAGCTTCAAAAGAAGAAAGGGATCCATCGAGCCTCAGTACTACCTCAGCAGCGTTCCATGGACTCCCTCGCTACTCGGCTGGCATTCCCTCGGGTGGGATTCTAGTCGTATTATTATTTTGGTGGTGGTGGCAGTGGCGTGCAGGCCTCCCACCCCAGCCTGAGTCACAATTCGACAAGGTGCTGTATTTTACAGATTCTCTGGGCGACTAACTCCCTGCTAGCTGTTGAGTCAGAGGAAGACCAGATACCCGCGAATTAGTTGGGGACGGACGCTGGGGCCCCACCCGGTCCTATTATTCTACAGCCCAGATGGGACGCGTGATTAGAAAATAAAATTGGCCGGCGCTGTCTCGGAATCTCTCTCCCACTCCTAATTTCATCAGCGCTCCACAGGGCAAAGTAACATCGGTTAGTTTCAGACAGAACCCATTTATACATTTAGACAAATTCATTTTAGAACTTTTAACTTGTTAAAAGAACAGCATTCACCACAGACTTTTTAAAAACAAGGATGAGACTTCATCTATATCCATTGTGTTTCTCCTCTTTCCAGTGCGTGGAGTTAAAACATATCACAAACACCGAATATCTTTCCTTCTAGTTAACCCTGGCTTAACTAACCCTAACGACTGTCCCCAGCGTCACTTATTACCCTTGTGGATTCTGTTGGGAAAAAAACGCTTAATTTCCACGCCAGGGTATTTTCAGAGGGAAACCCCAAAACAATTAAATACCTTCAGTGGAATTAAGTAAAAGCAAAACTCAGCAGAAATCCATCTGGATGGGCACAGCTTCGCAGAAAAAAAGCATATCCTTCTTTCAGAAAAGTGACATTTTGCTCGCAACGCATGTCATTTCACCAAGCTCTACTACTTGCTCCCCAGTGATGGACGCTGGGGAGCCACTGGGCACTGTGGGGGTTGGCCTGTCCCCGGAGACTGTCTTTTGTGTTTCCTGGGTGCTGGGCAGGAGGGGGGCGCAGGAGGCCCAGTCTGGGTGCACCCGGGCGGCGCAGGGCGGGGGTCCTCGCCGTGGTCTTTTCCTGGTGACACCAGGAAGACTCATCCCCCTTGGCGGCTGCAGCCTGCCTCGGAGGACAGATTGCCCCCCTCCCCCCGGCCGGCAGCACGCGTCTCTTTTGCGTCCAGATTGGCCGCGACCGGCGCTCAATAGCGGGAGGTTAATTTCCTTCACAAAGGTGAAGGGGGCACGGCTCCGGGGGGGCCCGCGCCCAGACAGGCGGCCCCTTTATTCCGCACGCCTTGATTAGAGCCCTTGATTTAGCATCTGATGTCAACCGGCAGACAAAATGCCCGCTCGGAATGAAAATGCATGAGCCGCGCCGCCGGGAGGGCGGAAACTCGCTTCGCCGGGGCTTAGGGCACAGGCCGGGGCCGGGCCGGGCCGGGCCCGGCGGGCGCGAGGTCGGGGAAGTGGGGACTGCGAGGACGCCAGTCCCGGGTTTCGGGGGTCTCAAAAAAGATAAAAGTTTAGAAAAAATCTAACTTGCTTTTAGAGCACAGTGCACGCGGCGCAGGGCCAAGCGATCCTCGAACCCGGCCGGAGCGCAGCGCTGACGCAGCCCTCGCCGCTGCCTGGGCGGGCCGGGTCCTGGGCGCGCGTCCCGGGCCGCCGGGACACCGCGCGACCCCTCCCTGCCGTACCCATCGGCGCGCACAAACTTCCCTGGGCTGCGGCTCGCGGCCCGAGCCCTCTGACATATTTGGGGCCGTTCTTGTCCTTTGTTGCTATGTCGCTTGCGACCCGCGGGGAGTCGCGGCGCGGGAGGG